GACTGATCTATGAGAGACTCACCAACAATCGCATGATTTGGGTTCATTAGTTGGGGGGGTGTTTTTTTTTTTTTTTTTTTTTTTTTTTTTTAATTTTACATTTTACAAATTTATTTTAGAATTAAAAAATATAATAGGTAATTGTAAATAGAATACATTATCTGATTTTTCTTTTAATTTTAATTTTTTTAATATGAAAAAATGTGAATGTACTATATTATTCTCATTTAATTAATAATTTCAATTCTTAATATTTGCATTAACTAAGAGCATTTTTTTGTATTTTGAATGTTTTACCATTCTATGCATTTTGTTTTATATATACAATGACATTTTTTGATATTTTGAATGTTTCACCATTCTCTGCCTTTTGCTTTATATATATATTATAATTTTTTGTTCGTTACAATAATACCCATATGAACCTTGAATGTGAAATTCATATTAGTGGTTGATATTTTTGTTTGAGGGGTTTTGTTGTCCAATTTTCTTTGGCAAAGTCTGTCATTCCAACTGTTTTTGGTTTGGCTTTATGAACTTGTTTGGTGATCAGGATTAAATTGGATTATGAAGTATGATTGGATTGCATTGGATTAGAATGGATAACACTAATCCATTATTGTGTTGTGTGTTTAACATGATTAAGTGGTTGTTTTTATTGATTGATTGAACTAAGTAAAACATGCCATTTTGAGTTTTTTTTTTAATGCAAATAAATGAAACTACAATTGTTCTACATGAAAAATAACAATATCTACTATTATAAAGTTAGGCGAAAACAGTCAGGTCATGTCACAAAAAATAAAAATAAAAATAAACACAGATACCCCTAAAACAAAAAAAAACAACGGCCTAACAAATTTTTATATTAAAAATCATATGGGTATTTTAATCAATACACAATAAAATAAAATAAAACTACCCACAAAAATTCGCATGTCGTGTGAAACAATAAAAAAAAAAAAAAAAAAAAGCGACCCAAGATTTTTAGCCTTATCATGTGAAAGGAGCAGCTCATTTCAGTTTTCACCCCACTTCCTTCACACCCAAATATCATCACCGGGTGTTTCATGAAAAAAAATATCACCGGGTGAAGCATTAGTTGCTTTCAATTGCTTCTTTTTCTTTGGGACATTTTGGAAAAAGCAAAAGGAGAGAGAAAAATTTTAAAAGAAGCAAAAATGGACAAAAATGCCCTTATTTATTTTTAGATTTCCTAAGGAATCCAATACATTTGCATGTCTTTGATTTGAAAGTTGAGTGGTTTTTTTGTCTTTTTTGAAAAAGCTTTGGCTTTTTCCAAAAGTGAAATTTTTTTTATGTCTAAAACCTAAAAAACCTTTTTTCTTTTGACTCAAATAGGAGTGTGAATGACAGTGTAGGCAGGGAGTGTGAAATAGGAGCCTTCCTATTCTTTGGAGACAAGGTACTAATGTCATTCAACGCTCTGATTAGAGTTTTTCTCTTTTAGCAAATCGTTTCATTATGTTGGTTTTCTTCCTTGCTTACTCTATAAAAATCTGAGGGGGCCAGGTTCAACGTTCCCCCTCGCCGGTCAGTCGGGCCACCACCTCCGGCGCCCTTAAGTCACCCTAAAGGTATAAGAAAATTTTGTTCACTTAAAGGGACTTGAACCTTGACCCTCAAAGGAGCAAGCCTCAATTACAAACCACTACACCAACCTTGTTTTTGTAATATTTATTATTTACACAATATTTATATTAACCATCAAAGATTTTCTTTTTTTGTTTGTTTACAATTCATTTCAACATCGGCGCATGAGTTGTGCCAAATCCATCATACTATAGAGTTATACATAAATTGCAATCAACTACTACTCTAAAACAAAATAATGTAGATATCAATAAAGTAAAATGAAATAAAAAACTTCAATCATTTACAACTATAAGAAAAACACAACAAAAAACATAAACTGCAAAAAAAGAAAAAAAAAAGAAAAAAAAAAAAAAGAGGCATAACATTTCTATTTCTTTTGGGTTTCACACTCACTCAATCACACTATATGTCAGTTACACACTAGAAACTGCATTGCAAGTCATATTTCGCGATACACACTGCACTACACAAACTATAAATTGCAGCTTTCACATAGACACTAAACAATCATCTAACATACACACAACATTGTCGTTTAAAAAAATAAATTTACAATGACTATAAAAGTAGTGACTAACAAATGCACACAAAATCCACATAAAAAAATGCAAACAAAGCCATAAACTGATTATAATATTTGCATAACAAAACAATTATAATAAAAAAAAAAGTTTAAGAGAGTGATTAATATTTATGTATAACAAATTAATAACTTTTGCTGAACAACAAAATACACATGTATTAGAGAGAGAGAACCAACGAGAGCGGTGGCGTAATCATCAAAGGACAAGAAGGAACTTAATGAGCTCGGCACAACGAGATGAATATTTAGCATGATGACGAGCCAATTATAGTGTTGAAGAAGTCCAACACCTTAACATAGTGTCATTCAATGAATGCAGTAGCAATAGTAGCAATCATGTTCTAAATACAATGCGTTTAAGTCATATAAGGCAACTAGCATGTTCGAATAGGATATAATTGCCCATGGTAGAGGTAGACAAAGTTTCAATAACAATGGTAATCTCTCAATTCAACCTCATTCAATTTTGAAAAGACAAAAATAATGCCTTAACTATATGGAGGTTCATTTCTTCCCCATTCCTTCATATAGAAGATATAGGAGAGCACGCATTCCAGCCTTTTAATTAGAGAAATATGCTCATCATCCTAGCAATCAAGTTTCGAAGTACAATGCGCTTAAGTCATATAAGACAACTAGCCCGTTCGAACATAACACATTTGCCTTACGGTGGAGTTAGACAAATTTGCAATAACAATGGTAAATCCTCCAAATATTTAGCAAGTTTAATATTATTCAATCGCTAATTACGGGCTTGTTTAATAACCATTTCATTTTTATTAGATTGGCCTGCAGCAGTATGATGTGACAAAACGCTTTTTTACATGGTGATTTATGTGAAGAAGTGTATATGAGTATACCTCCTAGTTACAGTGTTACTGGACAAATAGACATTGTGT